CGCCAATTTATCATGGATACATGCTGATATGTCGTAAAATCTGTTGTGGTGCCTTCGCGAGGGTGACGCGCGAGTGATCGTAAGCACATTGCATGAAGTCATGCTTAGAGAACATGGAACGAGGTCTTGATGAATTCAAGTACATCCGATGGGACGAGCGAGATGTTGTCCTTTAGTCGCATGACGTCATACAGGAGGGTGTGTCGGTGCAACTCCAAGTTTTCTTGTGAGCAAAAAAAGAAATCCAACAAAAAAACGTTCATGCTGGATGATAAATTGCACGAAAAAATAAATGGCTGCAAAAAGAGTCCTGATTGTGATGGGCGTACCTTGTTTAGTGACTTCACGAGCTTCTCACCATCGAAAAATTTGGATAAGAAAGTCACACAAAGCCCAGATTCCTCGCTGTGCACATAAGACATAAGAAAAAAAGGTTTCAGCTGGACATTTTTTGTACAAAAAATGCATGAAAAAACATGTGTGAATCTGAAAATAATCTACATAGGTGACCGTGCAAGTAGTAAAAGGGAAAAAATAAAAAACCTAGTAAAATTGTCCTCCATGATCATGGGGAAGTCCCTGGTCCATCTTTCTATTTTGTAGGGCCAGTTGGAGTAGAAGTGCCTCGCACACAAGAACAACCCATCAAGGATTTTCCCGGTTGCGTACTCGTGCAACCTGATGCTTTCGTTGCTGAAACCAGTCGTGCCAACGAGTGGGTCTAGAACGGTAATCTTTTTCTTTGTGAAATCAAAGGCGTATAGGCACCACCCCAATGGTAGAATGGCAGGAGCATAAAACTGTTGAATAAAAAATGAGTAAGTTCAATAAAACATGCGTAAAATTGGGTTAGCTCATCGTATGGGTGGTCAAAAACATGAGAGGTGCCGGGCGTGCCTTTAGGGTTGGTAAGAACACATGTCAGAAAAGAGATGAACTAACCATACGAAAGGATGCAACTTTGAATGACATGGGATCTTGCTTGAATTGTTGCCGGATAGACCTAATTGTTGTTAGCTCTCCATCGGCAATAGCAAAGGTCTTTTTTAGGTCGTAGAGCATGGGACATGCAAAAAAATAAAGAGGAAAACGAAAAAAGGGGAGTTAGACATAATCAGCTAATAAAGATAAAAATGTTGAGCATTGAAAACCGATGGAGTATATATAAATAAAACTGGCAAGTGGCTGGTCTTACAGCAAAGTCTGGCTCCATGAATTTTTTCCACCTCAGCCCAGGTTCATCGCAGTTTAGCGTTGCGTCGATCTGGCCGAACCGCCGCATAATGACTGCGCACATCTCATGACTCATCGGTTGGCCCTTAATAAGCTGGTCAGCAATGTGTGTCCCGGTCATGTATATTAGCCTTGGACACTTGTGGATGACCCAGACCCTGCATTTAAAAAAAGTGCAAAAAATCTCAATATATAGTGACCGTCTGACGAGCACAATTGGTGATCTGATGCAGATGGACAAGTGTTCCAGAACAGATTGATGTACTACCTAGACAATGTACACTCTGCTGTGCTAGCAAACCAATCCTTTATAGCTGAACATGCAATTGCTGACGGGGCGGATGGCACGGAACCAGCTGACCAAGGATCGCGTGCCATGTTAGCTCCAGCTAGCAGGATTTTCTCATTGTGTTCATAAAAACTCTGGCCAAAAGTAATCGAGCCTTGGCATCCATCTGGGTGTTTGTCTGCATATAAGATTATTAACTCTGATATGATATCACTAGCAAACTGTGCCGCGGCCTTTGATTCAGCGCATGAAGCATCTGGGTTATTGCGGTGCGAATGACTTGTCTTCCCTTTGCTATATGGAGGACAAATATCATTGTCATCTTCAAATGAGGGCTGCTGGATACATATTCTCTTCATGTTTGGTCCACCCGTGCCTGAATCGTATCACATAAAAAAGTGACTATTGTTGATGATTATGGGATGGTATGTAGGAAGGGATACACCAAAAATGGGCCAAGAGAAAACATGACAACTAAACTGTGTATGCCGGATGTAGCTGATCCAACAGAGTGCCGGCTGCTCGATGGTGTTGTACCTAGCTCCTTGCGCTTCCCAGGCACTAGACTGTGGCTATTAGAATGAGTTGCCGAGCAAGCTGGTGATTCAGTGGTCGTCGGAAAAGGGAAAATAGATGTCAGGAACACTTACTAGAGCTCAAAAAATGTGTTGGTACTAAACCACTGTATGGAAACCTAAAAAAAACAAAACACTTACCATCCGCATGTACTGCAGGCGGCAAGCTAGCACCCAAAGAACGGATTGGTGGGACATTGATAGGGGTATGTGATGCACCTATATGATCATTTGGGCAACATGAAACTGGTTAACACAGTTAACGGGTAGAATAATCTATATTTTTAAAAAGGCTAACTGGTTAACACGGTTAATGGGCCGAAAAAGGCTAAAAACAACGTAACAGTACAGGGGTCAATACCAGCAATTGCAATGTCTCGCAATGCATGAGTTTCATGCCCAGGGGTGTTGAAGTTACTCGGTAAAAACCCATCGGCTAAACTAATCATTATCTTGTCTGCAAAAGCAACCATCTCGTCGTGTGATGCCTGCTGCAATTCGAACATGTTGCGCATGACACGGGCATTGTGTTCTCTCAGATAAATTGCTACTGGGTGTGAGAACTGCAGAATAAAACATGGACAGGCAGTTAAAAAAGTAGTGACTGAAAATGATTTGCTGGTCATTATGTTGGATGTTGGGATGAGGGTGCGAAAAATGATTACTTACAAGGCTCGGATACCGGGCACGAAGATGGTTTGCAAAGTCGGCAGGGCCTTTCCTAGCTGTGCCCCGCCTATTTGAGTTGGGTGTCGCGCTTGAATTGTACCTTGTAGCATTTGATTCTGGTGTCCTGAACATGTGGCTCTTCTGACCGAGCAACCGGTTTGGTGAGGGATTCCGCATTATGTAAATGTGAGAGTAACCGACATCGTCAGACCTGAAAGCCTGTTGTTAAGAAAAGTGGTCATCGATTGCATAGTAAGGATGACTCGAAAAACAACTGAGCGGCCCTATCGTCTTGGAAAAAAAATAGAAAAAAAATTGCGAGTCCCCAGGCATACCCTGGAGATTGAAAATGCTGGTTCACCACCTTGACTGCAACTGAGCGCCTCTATCATCTTGCGGGTGATGTCATAATCGAAAACACAGACCCTGGGCGTCGAAGGGTCTCGAGGAGTTTGCTGACCCAGGTCCAAATTGTCGAGCACAAAAACCTGATGAGGGGTGATAAGAAAAATTTCAGAACTTCTCTTATCAACATGGACCTATGGTATATCACGACAGAATGCATGTCATTTTCAGAATTTTTTTTTGCAACAAACAAGAAAAATAGGACACATTTCATTTCACCTGTAGGAACAGATGGCAACCACAAGATGTATAGTTGAGTGCCGTGTCTGAAGATCAGTCTTCAGCTTTCGGACAGCGCTTAACAGGTGCTCGATGACAAATTCACACCAATCAAATTGACTAATCTCTAAAGTTGTGTTCAGTGCACCCCAGTAGTCTACGCTGGTGTAGTCATTCTTCGACGAAGGACATAGCAAATGCCCAAAAATAAAAATAACAGCGGCAATTTTAAACATCTCTATGGCGACCCTAGGCGAGTCTTCCTGGATGTCTTTCAATAGTATGGCCTCTGCAGCTTTCAGGTTATGTGTGCCCTTGTCACTAAGCTCTTCTGCAAATTTCTTGTACTCAATGCATGCCTCCGACAAGTCACATGGATATGTTGATATCCTTTTCCCACCTACTGGAAGCCCAAAAACATTGTTGACATCAGCTGCTGTGAACTTGATTGAACGCCCTTCATCTATGGTGATTACGCATGTGTCTGCATCCACCCTCTCCATGAGGAACGAACTGAATTTCAGGTTCAGCTTCGGCAGGGACCTGAGTGACAGCACGCCTTCAAAACCAATCTCTGCTATCAACTTCCTCTTGAACTGTCCAAACTGGGAGAATATGTTGCACGGCTTTTGCACTGAAATCCTAGATGTAACTGCGCCTGGGCCTACGGCGGATGCGAACTCCCAGTTATCTGTGACCTGTAAATCAGACGCCTCTAGGTCTACATTGCTTTCCATGCCGGCCGAAGACGCCGATGTGATGAGGTGCGCGCTACAGATTGAACAGAAAATACAAGATGGATCTGGTAAATCAAATGGCTTTCTATAATAATCCGTACTAAACTCGAGCATTTCAATGGATCCCTACTGCTATAGATGAATAGTTTTTGCAACTGCGAGTGTGATACAGAGAGTTGGATTTGCCTTTACATACCTGCCTCCTGTTCTTGCTTGAATCCTCACTGCCTCCTCTTCTTGCTTGAATCCTCGACTCGCAGGGCTGAACCCGTTTGCTTAAGTGGCTGGTGCCATGGATACGATGCAAGCTTCAGCGCTGGTGGGGGAGGAAGGAGATGCCGAGATGGCGTGCGGTGAGCGAGGCAGAAAAGCAGGGGAGATGGCTCGCACCGCTCCCTTCTAGTTTCAGCGCGCGTTCTATTTACTGTTGGGTGATGGTGGTTGTGTGCACAGTTGGCGACAGAGTTAACACCCGACCTGACTAGTCAACACAATTTACTACGTCCAGCAAGTAGATATCACCAGTCAAGCAAAAAGTGGGGCCTCTCTCTGACTATGTCAACATTTTTCCGCTGGCCAGACTGATTAGCGTGTCCATCCGATGATGCAGATAATCATACATTGATGAGCTGATTATTAATTAACATAAACTTGAAGCATACACTGACAAGCTTTTGCATGCTAACTCGATGACCCATTAACGACCTAATCAACAGGCTCAGTGACTCGCAACTAGAACTAGAGGGAAAGGATTACAGTGGATAATTGGAAAACATATGTCTACGATTAGAACGGATAGGGTGCTTGACAGTAGCTCATCACACCCGTGAAAGGATGGTCAGGGTGAAGATCATGTTGATCACCATGAGGCAGATGAAGAGACAGTCGCGGCCTCCCCTGGCCTGTGCTTGTTCAGTCCGCTGCTGCCTGACGATCTCGGGTGCCTGCTCCGGCTGCGTCTGCGTAGCATGTCCAGCCATACCTTGGCTCGAACCTTGGACACCGTATGGGTCTCCATACCTCAGGCGAGCTTCCCTCCGCCGAATGATTCCGGCGTAAACATCTTCCCACCTGAACCAGCCGCACTTGTCTGGGCCCTGCTCAGCCCCATACCACAAAAAAAAACACAAACAACAATGTGAGACTTCATTTATCGATTTTCCCATGGAACTTCTTGTGGACATTGATGAAAACTTACACTGTCAATCGGGCACTTGTAGAAGCGCCTCCCCTCGTTCGGCCCTTCTTTGCTGCAGATGTTTGTCTCCACCCTGACCTCCTGGCAATCAGGGCACATGATGAGCGGCAGGTGTTGGCGTCTATCTCTGGAACGAACTGAGGAAGAAGAAGCCGCCATTGCTGCGATTCCAAGCTATTCACTGATGAGAGCTGAGAGGAGGAGAAGCATTAGGCTGCTGTTCTCCGGCGGTATAAATAGAGCATTTCCCCAACGGTCTGATCGTCAGACCCAACGTTCGGATTCCAAACGATTAGCTCATCGGCTTATCTCTGAACATGGGAGCGTGAGCTTGCCCATGTTCGTCAGTGAGTGGATTAGCTGCTAGCACTGCATGCACATAATGGGTGGATCGATGGCACGTCTAACTAGCCTGCCATGCATTTTCGTCAGTCCTGGGATGCTACTGCACGAAAATATAGAATACGGTGTGGCATATATCCTTGCCAGCTCGAATACATGTCATTAAATGTGTTGGTGCAGCTGCTAGATGCGATTATAGACGACTAGGATACCGAGCTGCATAGAGCTCGTCCGCCAAACGGCATTTTCGGTTATGGGCTAACTATTTAAATATACAAGGTATGAGATACTTATATGGAACACTTTTTCGCGTGCAAAGGAGATATACCGAACATGTGAGCAAGATCACCTCAGTGTACCGCAAATATTATATTAGAGATATCAGTACTTCTTAGTACTTGTCATGTTGATAAGCTCCATAAAACACACAGATACAAATACATACACAATATTCTATCTTGGCAATCGCACGCACTCTCTCACAATGCACGGCATGCATACTTATACTACGTTGTACATGTGTATGTCATACTTTCTTTGCCTTCAATAATTAGGTCGGACCGGGTCCTGTTGTCGATGATGGGCGACGGTCGGACAGCCTTGTCGCCGTGGACTTCAGCTGCACCTCCGGCCACCGCAGCCGCCCTCCCTCTGGCAGTTGAAGTAGGCGGCGGCGACCGGCACGCCAAGGCAGTAGCACGCCGCGAAATCCCTGGTGTTGAAGTTGGGGCGCCACCCCGGCGCGTAGATCACCTGCCTCACCGTCTGCCGGAACACGATGAACGCCAGGCGGTGGATCCCCGCCTTGGGCTGCGGGCTCTCGTACGCCACCACCTCAGTTCCTGACACGTTTCATCAGCAGAGTAATAAGAAAACTTAACGCATGATTAAACATATACTGCAATAGTACAATGCGAAATCCACATGCATGCATGTTCAATCCTCTTAGTGAACGTGGCAGCAGCTGGTTAGTGCATGCATGGGACTTGTCCATATTAATTTCTGCCAAGTCGCCCGCTTACCATGACTGACATCACCTCCTTCCGGTATGTCCATCACTAACCTGCACAGCAAATGAAAAGGACGCATGAATAATTTATTCTTGATAAACAAGCACGGAGTCTGTGGTAGGAGTATAAAAGAAACGAGACCATCCTAGACTAGCCTTGGAGGCATATTTGTGTTAGGACTTAGGAGTATGATGATGCATCAACTGATACAAGAAATTAGGGTTGACATGGGAAAAAATGAATGGTTGGTTAATGATTAGCTCTAGTTTAGCACGTACGTACCAATGGAGGTACTCCCTTTTGGAAGGGTTGCTTGGACTAGGTGCATCAGGATCCACCATCACCTAGTAACAAAACATGGCAGTAACATATACATGCATCAGAAGGAGCATCAGCAACCACGACAAGTGTTTTTTCTTTTCTTTCGAAAAGGACGCAATAAGCATCGATTGATGCAATTGGCCGGTGACTCACCAGCGTGTATAGTGATGTTTCATTGCGCCCCCGGGAGCCAGTTATCCGGACGGTCGGCTCCCTGGCCACCTGCGACGGCCTCAGCCCAGACCCACTGGTCATCTCGCGGTTGTTATAGAACAGCCTCAGCACCGCCGAAGCATCAAAGTGGTCGATGATTTCTCCGACGATGTTCCCGACGACCAGCGGATTCCTTGACGTGCTCATCGCCGGCTCGATCGGAAGACTTGTCACCAGCTAGCTAGCTAATTTTCCCGCAAGGAAAATAAAAGCTAGCTAGCTAATTAAGCTCAAATGTGCATGAGAGTTTGCATAGGTGAGCTACGTATTTATATGCTTGAAATGGATACGATACGATCGATTCCTTGCATCGGAATATAAACTTTCTTTAAAGATCCATCTTAATCCTCTGGGCATAGACATATACCAAGTGGAGAGACCATTTCGGAGTGAATAAAATCTTGAGGTAACCATGCCAAATCCAGTTACGGATGCAATGTACAAGTAACGGGGAGACGGAGAAAGGAAGTGCTGACGCCTTAGAAAGGAAGCTCTTTGACCCCCAATGTGATGACAACTCACAGGTAGCTATATACTTAGTTTTCAGGCACGATCGATACCCCAGCAGCAATAGCCTGGACACCATTGTTTTCCCTTCTGCTTTCTCTCTTTTCTCTCTTAATACTAGCTAGCTAGGTGAATCCAGTCATCGTATTGGATTCTTCACGTAAAGTGGATGCGGAGGCAAAGGCGCAAAGCAGATATGGTGGTGTACTTGTTGAGAAGAACATGAGTTCAACAAGTGAATTACGAAAGCAACAAAGTTTATATCCCCATATATTCCTTTTTTCAAGTATCATCCAGGTATGTTCTTTTGTACCAGAGCCTGTTTGATTTTATCAGCTGCCTAGGCCTAGCTATATCTTTTTAGCTACCTCACTGAAGATCTTATGGCTCCCGTGCCAAAATAATGCACCCTACGATAAAACAAGATAGTTCAACTCGAAGTCACTTCTCCTGAAGGTTTTAGCAGCGTCCTATACATATATCGGGAATGAGTTTAACTTGTTTTGTTTTGAATTTATATTTCAGTGCAACTTTGACAATACAATTTTATACTCCATGTTAAATTGTTAATGCAAGAAAACTCACATTAAGTACAACACCTGACACATTGAGTTAGTAGTTCAGTGGTACATCCTCATTATTCACCATAAATTTTATATCATTTTAAATTTATAAATTTTTGCTCTAATTTCTATAAAATAAGTGATAAATATATGTACATCCCTTTTTGCTAGTTAAATGGAATAGTGGTTCTGATTGTAGTATATGTAGACAAATCTAAGACAAGTTTCTTGGAACGGAGGTAATAGTAGTTATTTTCCTAGGGGATACATAATTCAGAGAGTTTTGCGTGCCTATTCGCTCCGCTGGAAAATGTAAAGCGTATTTTGAGTGTTCAAATTTTCAGTCAACACAATTTATTTCAGACTATTCTTCTTACTGTTAACAAGGTCACAATCACAATAAAGAACTTTGGAAGGTGGCTCCATTGATATCAATTTTGTGTCACATAACCCGTATATAATATTGCATTCAAATGTTGGCTAAGGCGTGGATTTGTTGGATGATCAACATACCGCTTAATTTCAATGGAGAGAGTATAGTTAAGAAAGAACTAAATGAACCTTTTGTGAACCGTGCAAATCATTTCCCTAGTTAATCTCAAAATGTGTTGCCTATCACATGCAAGGTTTAAACTTTCAATAACACACACAAAAATCAGACCTCGCCGAAATATTCAAAATTTGAGATTTCTTTCAGATTCAGATATATTAAAATCGACTTAATTTTAACGAAATTTCACCTACTTTAAAGTTGATTCTTAAGGGCATGTTCAATGCGAAACCTCAAACCGCCGCATACGTCCGGACCGCGCGATCTGGACGCGTGTTGCCATCCAGTGGGTCTGT